GCACAAGAGGGAAGGGACAACTGAGCCAAGGCATGCGTGAAGAACATCAAATGCAATTCATGCCTACACCTACAGTTGCAAAAGGGTCGCCCGCAGGGATATTAGAATCTGGACCAGCAGCTACTCTTGTTGATGAGTTGCACGGTAGCCACTTGCAGTCTTCGTGCCATGGAACACGGCCTAAGTAATTTTATCGTGGAGTGACATCTCATTTGCAGCGACCTTTTTGTCAATGGAGTCTATATTTTTTTAAATGTATTTTAGATGTCCTCTAATGGATTTTGTAGTGATACAGTTAAATTGTTGTTGGCTGTAATGGTGAATTGGCATTATCAATTGGGTGTAAGACTTGTGATCATGTGATATGAATGAAGTAGACTGGTTTTGGACTGCGTAATTTTCTGTTTTCCTTCATGCAGTTGGACCATATGCTTAAAATTTGAATTATACAGGCATCATATTATTGACTTTTGAAAAGATAAAAGTTCTCATATTGATGAATTGAGAGGAAAAAATGAAATTAGATTGAATTGGCCGTATTGTATATACAATTGAGGTCCTATTTATATACAAAATGAAGGAATCATTCCTAACTAACTTACAAAAATATATATATATATATAGAGGAAGAGAAAAAGAAAAAGCTTATATAAAAACAGAAAAAGGATCCAAGATGCACAATGACAAAATCTAACTAATCCTCTTCTAGATCATTCTTCTGTTGTTGCTTCATTATCTGCCTTGTCATCAGTCCAACCTGGGCTGCTTCTTTCTGATTATGCCTATGCTCCAGCTGACTCACATCTTCTATATTCAATACATATGCTTCAAATTGAACATTGTGAATGAATAAGAATGTATATATGAGTCTTTGTCACCCCATACTGCAATATACCAAAAACAAAGTAAAAAAACCAGGCCAACATTGCATTAATAAACTCAAATTCAAACCAATATATGGAACTTCATGACATTACCTCCTTCGTGATGTTGAAGAACCTTCAGGCCTGCCGGGGTATGGGTCCATGCGTGGACAGTTTTCGGGTTGCTTGGAAGACGGCGACACTCTGCAAATCGAATTGGGGGAGAGTTTTAACAGGAATCGTGTCCATGTTGGCCGAGTTTGACGTCGTCCGTTGCCACGTTGGCTGCCGTCAAGCCACATGGGACGGTTTCAAACCGCTGGGATGCCAGGTGATGGATGGTGTGGTTAGTTTGGAAGTTCAGTGACCGTTCAGCCGCTAGAGGAAGTTCAGTGACCACAACGTGACATAGGAGGAAGTTAGGTGACTAATCAAACTTTTTACTCGTACGACTAAAGAAAACAAGTTCAAGAAGAAAAGACCCAATATTTTGAAGGTTTTGATGAGCATATAATTCATTTTCAGTAGAGAAAGTGGAGGGGTGAGGAACATTGAAGAACGGCTAATGTATTTGGGTACGATTGTTCTCTTTCTGCATTGTAAACCTGCTTTCTGGTGGTGATAATGAATAAAATATAGTTACTGGATCCCAAAATGTTATCACAAAGGTTTTTTTTTTTTTTTATGTTGAACCATCTCATTTTATTTATAATTATATCATTAATGTATAACATGGACAAACCAGCAATGGCGATGGGGTGAACATCTATTGTAACAATAGCCAACAGAGAAATATAATAATCATTGAACTCGTATCCAACTACTTGCATAATATCAATTCTTGAAGCATTGCCAAAATTATTTACGAGCTTCCAACTTCTTCTGCTCTTTGGCAGTTTTCTCCTCCTCATTTTTTAGCTGCTTCTGCTCTCTGTTGTTGTATAAGGGCCAAACACTCTAAATCTTTCCTCGCATGTTCTGTCTTTCCTTGTTCTTATAGCCTCATGTACCTTTCGCGAGCTTTTAGTCTTTCAATCTCCTCTCTTTCACGCCTAGAAAGCTCAGTTGTTTTCTCCATATCGATATCTCGTGCTTTCACGTTCTCTGGTTTTGCCAAATTAGGATTGTCAACCTGAATAATACCTAGAGTGCCTTTTTGCTTTTCAGCTCCAGCTTCATCCTCAAACTCCTCTTCTAATTCTTCTTCAGATCTCTACTCTTCTTCAAGCTCAGCTTCTTCCTTCTTAAATGTACGAGGACGAGAAGCAGAGGTACCCGCCATCATCTGCTCCGGAGTAGAGAACTGGCCACGGCCAGTGGGCTTGCCCTTGAACTTTCCTCTTCCAATTTCAGTGCACGTGTGACAGGAAAAATTGTTACCACAAAGGTTCATGAATCACAACTAAGTTTAATATGAATATTAACTTCAAATAAGGTTTACAATTATTAAATCACTGAATCATAGATCATCTCAAACCCATTTTGTGGATTACAGTCTATGTGAGATGGTGATACATGGAAAATTATGTGAAATGTCATGCAAACAAAATAGATGGTGCTATTTTGGTGTTTGTCACTTTCTTTTAGTTTGTGTCATTTTTTTGAATTTTGTCACTTTTTTTCTTTTTTCTTTTTTGGAGTTTGTCACTTTTTTTCAATTGTGTTAAAAAAAAAAAAAAGAAGTGACAATTTTTATATAAAAGTGACATTCTGTCACTTTTAAATTTATACAGTATTTTTCACTTCCAAAAAACCTTTTTTTTAGATTTTGTCACTTTTTGAGTTTGTCACCTTTTAAATTTTTGTCACTTTTTTTAATACTTGTCACTTTTTACTTTTTTATATTTTTAAAAATATGACATGATATGTGATAAGAACCGCCACTACGTTCGCGTGGATTGTCCTGAATATGTTAAGATCATGAGTATTGGTACTGCACAAATAGATTGTGCAATTTTGGTGTTTGTCACTTTTTTTTTTTAATTTGTGTCACTTTATTTGAATTTTGTTACTTTTTTAGTGTTTGTGTCACTTTTTTTGAATTTTGTCACTTTTTTGAATTGTGAAAAAAGTGATATAATTTTTATAAAAAAAGTGACATAATGTCACTTTTTAATTTTACACAGTATTTTTTTACTTCCAAAAAACCTTTCATATGATTTTTCAGAACGTTCGTAATTTTAAGGTTATTTTTGTAAGTTGCCCATTTGTTCAATTGTATAATATGATTCTCGTAAAAAATATGTAGCATGGAAAATCCCAATTCATAATATATTCTTTAAATTGCACTTTAATCCCTCAAGTTTGGAGAATTGCAAATAAAGCCTCAAACTTTGTAAAAATGCTTTTAAACCTCATTTAAGAACATATTTTTCATGCTCAAACTATACCTCATAAAAATAGAGCATGTTTGGTACAGTTTAAAACCTAATTAAAATCAATTTTTTAAATGTTAATTCACTATTCCAGCCATTATTTTGGAATCCTTCTCCCACAGGTAGGACCCACTTTATTTCTAACGATCAAAAAATCAATTAACAAAATCCCTACCAAACAAGCACATAATAAACATGCAACTTCTACAATTGTAGTTTAGTCCATGAACTTTTCGAGCATTACAATTTAGTCCCAATTTGCTTTCCAAACCTCAAATAATTCGTATTATCACAATAAGTTCATCATTCGTTCAATCAACTATTTTTTTTCCCAGAATTTCAGTTTGATTCTGAAGAACTGAAATGATTCCAATTTGATCCCCAAGTTCTCAATCTTTGAACTTTAATCTCAATGAGAAATTGAGGGTCTTTCACTGAGGACCTCAAGTGATGAAGAGCATGAGCGTCACTCTTTCTAAATTTATACTTTGTCTCTCCATTATTTTGACCACTTTTAGCTAAACATTACACAGATATACAGATATACGTATACATTTGGTTAATTGTATTATTATAATATGAAGTTTGGCACAATACTATATTAAAAGAACATATAAGAAAAAGTAAGTTCACTTTTAGCAACTTTTTTCTGACATTTATGTTTGAATAACTTACTTTTTCTCTTATTTAAAGTAAAAATTACTTTTAAAAAAAAAAGTAATTCTTATATTTGTGTCAAATAAGTAACTTATTTTAACTTTGATGAGCCAAAAAAAAAAAATATTTTAAGACTGACTTAGTTAGTTATATATAAATTTATTTTGTCTAGAAACATGTTTGAACAATTAAGCCCTTGTTTGATCTCCGTTCTTTGGAGAAAATGAATTCTGCTAAAGTATTTTGACATAATTTCAATCACACATTCTTTAATAAAATAATATTACACGTAAATTTAAAATTTTTTCTTATTTTTAACCACACATTTTCCATTAATACACTATTCAAAAATTCATTTTTCCTCTCAAAGTAGGGCTTAAACAAGGGCTAAGCAATACATTATATTAAAATACTATCTTGCTTTTTTTAAATTGTTATTAATAAGAAAATTATTTATATGAAAACAAACTTATTAATGTATAAGTAAATCTACTTTTTGTTTAAAGCTATTTTAAATGAATTATTCTATTTGTATAAATTTATTGTACAATTGGGCCGTCACTTGGCCCCTTTGTTAACCAAATTGTACAATAAACTGTAATTCTAGCATAGTTGATTTTTAGATCTCGTTTGGCTCCCATCTTTCTTCTCATTTTTTTTCTTATTTTCAACCACACAATCTCGTATAAAATAATATTATACGCAAATCAAAAACTTTTCATTCTTTTTCAACCACACATTTTTAAAAAAAACAATATTCTAACCATTAAAATTTGACAAGAACGAGTGTCAAATGGAAGCACACAGAGAGAGTAGGTTAGAGGGTACAGTTTCTAACAGAAGTGAAAGGCGGGGGATACTGGTTCGCTGTTATGCAACACAAAATCACTTATCCCGTTAACCCACCTAATTATAAGGATTAAATTCATCCCATTGAGTTAAGCCACGGATCAAAGTGGAATGGACAGACATGTAAATTTATTTTAAGAGGTTTTACAGATTGGGTCATTTTCTGTGTCAAACATCAGGCAATTCTTCTGAAGTCATTATTGGTTAGCACATGTTATATTTAAGAATGTGAAATTTGAGCACTTTGATCAAAGCCTGAGAATCAAGTAACATGATAATATAAAAATATACAGCACTCTTTGAACATTTGTCGACAAATCACATTTGCAGTTAAGAGGAAGGTTGAGGTATCGGCAACACTTTTACTCACAATTGGACATGATTGCCACGACACAATAAAAATTTCAGTTAAACACAGAAACAAGAATGTGCAAAATGGCTTTTTCTGGCTATGTACGGAGAAAGATAATGACTGGCTATCTCTGAAGTTTTCTCCGCAGGAACAAATATTTGTGTTTTGCCCGAAGCTATTCGGTTCCCTGCTACACTAGCGTAGAATCGGCTGGGGTACGCTGGTACAAAGACATCGCTTTGTGAGCAAATGTTGAAGTCGATGAATTGTTCATATTCACGACCCTCTGAGCCCATGAATTTTGCCCTCTCATAAGCAGGCACGATTGCATCCTATTACAATTTCAAAGCATACAGTGAACCGAGATCGACTGGTTAATGAGTAAAGAAGTTCTTCAATTCAGCTAAAAGGGAATTCAATCGTTCATTAAAAAGTTCGCCTTTCTTGAATTGATATATTTAGAGAAATGTAGAGAGACCTCCTCGTGGGATCATTTGAAACAGCAGCTCATGTAGGATGACAAAAAGAGCAAGAACTAAGCATGATGGGCACATAATTAAATCAAAAGCTATAACATCTTCAACTAAGATTCAAAACACAAGAAGGGCAGGCATTACCTTTGTAAATGTGTTAGGGAAAATATCCCTCAATAAATCGAGCCTACCATGCCATCCAGTTTGAGTCAAGTATACCGCTGTTTCCTTGTGAAAACCAATCTTGTTGAGAAATTCACCAATTTCTTCAGCATTATAACAGCGTTCACTTGAAACAACATTTTTGTGGCACCTCTTCTTTCCCAACATATCAAACCTCAAGTCCACTGCTACAAAGCGCCCACCCATTTTCTGGCTCATGCTCCGTAGTGTCCCAACCATTGAATCGACCAATTCAAGCAAATCTGATTGCAGCTTGAGACTTCCAAATGCAGCCAGGCATTGGTATGCATTCGAGTCCACGGTTTCTTTCGAATTTTCCATGGATAACGCATCAAAGTAAGTAGCAAGCCTCAAGTTTTTATTGGTACTAAATATGGGTTTGATTGTGGCAGTAATGAAATCCTTGGAGACCCTATCTGGGACTCTTACAGCAGTGGCTTTCACGCTTGATATTTCAGCAGGCTTAACCTTGGCTACCTGGACTACTCCATCCAGGCTTGCCACAAACTTCTTGACATCATAGATTTCTCCAAAGTCTCTGAAAGCGATTCAAATATGATAGAATTTTTGTTTAGAGATTTTTCTTATTACTTTCTTTTACTAGGCTCATGAAACATGTACTTCATCAAATAGTAAGCATATCAAATGAAACAAAATTCAGAGAACAATAACCGTGTCATGGATTCAAAAAAAGATTTCATTGCAAGGAAGATTGCTTATAGTAATTCATTTGTTCATTTTGATATTCACAGGACACTTCTTTTGATGTTTAAATTTTTTTACAGCATTATATATGAGATATTGGTCTGATTAAATATAGATGGGTCTGACATATTCTTTGGACCATCAACGAACTAAAAGAAAATATAATTATAGATTCTTGTTGATAAGTGCATGGACTAGCCTTTTCTCCCCCAGTTTGGTCCCTCTAATGTCAGGAAGCACAAGTTTTGCTCCAAGATGCCTAGCCACGACCACAGCATTTGCAATCTGAGAGACAATAAAAAAAGTAGATAATAATGGACATTCCTTCACACAACCAGACTAAAAACAAATATGCAATCAGAAGAGTTAAAACTTTTTGCTTCTTAAACTTTGTTTGAAAGCCTGCCAGAGGTCATTGGTCTGACTGAAGCAACCTGATTACCAGATTGTATTCCTTGAAAAGCTTTTGGCTTAGTATCCCTTGCATCAGCAAGAGATTTTTGTTCATAAAAAAGTCAGGACTTGTCTTTTTCACGTTGATGTCTTAATACAGACATGATAATCAGGGACTTGATCTAATAGTCAAGCATCTAGCTATAAACTCGTAGTCTGGCATCAAGTCCACATGATGATGTCTCAACAGCTTATCATTTCCCACCACTCATACAAACAAATAAAAGAGAGAGGAAAGAAGAAAACAAGCATGATCTTCAACTAACAAATTCCTAGTTGTACCAAGCATGCCCAAGTGGACCCATATTTTTCCTAATAAAAAGGACCCACGCATGCCATAGGCGAATAGCCCAGCTGGACAAGGATTTTTCCCAGTAAACAGGCTGTGCTGATAAGGAAGGTCGGCCAAACCCACTTTATGCATCGCATACATATTATATAATGTCCCCCTTTTTCTCAGAACCTCAAAAAAGAAAAAAGAAAAAAAAAAGAAGGAAAAATAGCATACCTGTGAAGCATGGTGCTCCGGACCATTATATAACGAAAACAAGATATATCCGCTGGATTGCTTTTCTTCTACAAAAGGAACAGAATAATGAAGAATGAAGCAGCAGCTACAACTAAACGTTTCTGCATAATTTATGTCATATTTAAGGACTTACTGAATGAGGGGATTTTCCAGCATGGTTTTGGTACTTCATTATGTTCTTTAAACGGACCGTAACTATTTTCATTCAGCTTAACCCCTTGTGTGTTGCTTGCATTGTGTTGGTTGATCGTCTGAGATTGCTGTACTGGTTCCTGCAAAAAAATATGAAATTTTGAGCCTATTCTGTTTTCACTTAACTTTTAACTTCTATGCACAAAGTTTTCAAATCTCTTGTTCATTCCTCTGTGCTCCCTCTGTTCTTACCGCGTAATAACTTGTCGTGACTCCCTTTTTAATAAAATGACATTTAACGGATTCAAATTGATGAATTTTCATTTCCTCAAATTTGTAAATAGAAGATTTACTTCCTACAAAGAAATCAGCATGAATCAAAACGGTAATGAATGGTTTAAGTTAATTATTCTACTTCTTCTAATTACTTCAATCCAAAAATATACTTTTACTTCAAAACTAATCTTGTCCATAAAGTAATGAAATAGGGAAAAATAATAATTTTGGCTTCTACTTTACACTATTCAGTTTTAGACCAAGTATATTATCACATACTCTGTTGGCCAGATCTGAAGTAGCGATATTTAAGAAAAAAATATTTGAAAAATAAGAACAAAGGGATGAATAGAATTAATTTATATAAGTTTCAGTTTATGTAATATGTGAGTGTAGTAAACAGACACTGTATAGATAGTGGAATATAACCACGCCTCAATCATTGAGTTGAATATACAATAATAAATTTTAGAAAAAAACTGACCAGAAATGGATCGATATGATCTTTTTTAACCATATTTCCAAGCATTATGAACATAGAAAATGTCAGTATGCCTCCCATCACCTGCCTTAAATCTACTGCCATTTTTTTTCTTTCGCTTCTCTTCTCTCTATCTCAAGTTTTTCTCTCTTTCTCAGTGCGTACATATACTATTACTCTTCCCCGCCCAATATATATATAAATATGCAGGTTCTCTCTTTTTATGATTTTGTCTGATTATCAGCCATAAGAGAAGGACAGTGCTCACCGCCTGAAAATAGGCTGGACAGCAGAAAACAACAGAAAGAGGCTTAAATTTGAGAAGACGACAATTAAGACAGCTAGAAAATGATCGCAATGCATTCACAAAAGGAAGAAAATCCAAACGGTGGCAGATAACTTTTCCCCCATAAAGATAGTTACTATTATTTACGCAAGGGAGAGTAGATGGCTATGTCAAATGGAAGAGTAGTTTTTGAGGGCTTTTCTAGAGTCACTGACTAGCCACAATGTGACTCTTTCTATTCTATGATTTCTTTTGTATTTGTTGCCAATAGCTGCTTTTGTTAATTCATTTATTTGATGATGAGAAAGTGATTTATTACATGTATTAATAAATATGCTGGGTAAAGAAGGCTATTCATTGGGTATATGTATAGATTAAAATTTTTCATTGTGTAACCAGTGAACATGTAACATAGTATATAGGTGTGTGCATGCACAAACTTGGTACCAACACGTATGCAAATAGTTCAATAAAGCTAAATATATAAAGTATTTTTGCCATATATTTATGGAGGAATCAATGTCACGTGATGCTTATGGACAACAAAGAACATTTCATTGTGGAAATAATTGTTATGAGCTAAAAAGCATGCATCATATACATATTTAATGAACTTAGTAAAAATTAAATTGTCTCAATTATCCAATTCATGAGTTCAATTAGCTCTACATTGCCTTGCTATAATTATATTTGGCTTTCTTTTCCTAAATTACATTAGATGTTTCTCATTACCTTTCCAATTAGAGGAAGAATGTGTGTGTTTATTCATAAACTAAGGGGTCTGTCACTCTACTATATCACAAGCAGTTGGCTATAGCAATCCTCATCAGTATGAATGCCACATTCAGACAGGTCTTCAGGTCTACTGACATCTCTCTTTTGTACTTTCTTCCATGCATAAGACAACTTGTTTTACGGAGAAGGCCTTCTTTTAATTATAAAGAAATGGAATGAATTCAGCCAAATGAATGCATTAACAAACAAGAGAATTCTCATTATTGTTAGCATAAAGTTATTAATATATGAAATATCACTATAGATTCAATAGAAGAGTTATTCTAGAATTGTAAAGCTTATTTCTCCAATTAAAATCAGTGATGAGTAGTTCAAATAATATTTTTTATCTTTCTTTAGAGCTTATTATAAAACTTTAAGGGAAAATAATAGACAAGGAAAGTTTAATTATTATTTATCACCTTTTATAAAACCTCCTTTCATGGCGATGATAATCATTATTAAATGCAAGCAATGAACTTGTGTCAAGATATCTTTTTTATGGAATTACATATATATTTTGTTCAAACAGCAATAGTTTTGAAGCATTCTTTCTATCTCAAATCACACACAATCACGCATGAAATGGTTTAGTTGTTAATTTGTATCCCCTTCTTTAGAATACATTGTAGTTTAGTTATGGAAAATACCACTTTCTACCTAATTAATTCTGAGATGCTCAAAGAACGGCTAAGGTGGACTTGTCAACGCTCAACAATCTTAAAGAAGAAAAGGAAGCTAAATCTTATCCATTGTGGTATCCAATTCAGTCTAATACCGAGTACCAAAATGCCCTTACGGTAGAATTATTAGAGTTCTTAGTGGGAAATTTGTAAAGGATTTTAGGGGTCTATAGAAGCCAGATTGTGCTCAGCCTTGAACTTTTAGACAAATGTTGTTTCAGTCTCTATACTTCTATTTATTGGATGTTGATTGACTTTTAATCAATGCTTACGGATATCATACAAATGCCATATATTAGAGTTTACGGGAACAAACCTTTCTTTTATTCATTTATTGTCTAATGAGATATTTAGCTATTATTTAGGAAGGGAAAGCAAGGCAACATTCTCTCCTATTCTTTTTCTCTTCAACACAAGTTTGGAAAGCATAGAATTATTCTCTCCATGTAAAATATCTCTTCTTATAGATACATGTAAAAGAGTGAATTTAAATAAATACACTTCTCCTTTCTAACAGCATAAGTTTTTCAATGAGACTGTTCAACATGATATCAAAGTATCCAAATGTCTTTAGTTCAAGTCTCACTGCTACCTACTTACGAAAATTGTGCAAATGTCCAACCGTTAATGAATAGATGAAACTCACCTACGAATGGGGTGGTCTTAAAGATTAAATCTAAAAAATAAATGCATCTTTTGTTTAACAACTTAAGCTTTAGAAAAAGTAGGTTAAAACATTAATAGCCAAACTTGCTAGTTCTACATCTAAGTTTTAAGTTAGCATCACCAAACTTAAAATTTTCCATTATGCTTGACCGTGTAAAAAAAAGGTTGAACCCCAACCTTGGAAGCTCCCACCGCCCCACTCCTGGAGTATCATGAGGGAGGTAAATCGTGGGATGTGCCCCAACAGGTCAGAGAACAAGAGCTTGCCATACACTGGTACCCACAAAGAGTCCAATTTCATATTTCAGGAATCGAACCCTCACACTGCAGCTGCCAGCAAGGCTGAGACTACCTCACTCATATCCTTTGCACCACTGGCATGTGCCCCGAGGGGCTGCTTGACCATGTAGTATAGATGTATGTTGGGGCGTGCACTCTTAGTGTTGTACCAACACAAAATTGCAAATGGTTGTATTGTTTGAAGCTAAATGGAACATAAAGTGTACAGCTATACATGGATGCATTGTTTAAAAAGGCTTAATCACTTATCTAGGCATTTTATCTTTTTTAGGCGAGGCACAAGCTTTGAGGCACCTTGAGGGATAGGCCTCAAGACAAACCAATAAGTATATAAAATGATGTAAAAATGCTAAAATATGCTCTTATAAATCTTAATAATCTTAAAAATCTGTAATAAAACATCAAATTTGGAAGTCTAGCTTGCAAACATCAATATAATATATTAATAAAATAATAAGTTCTCAAGAGTCAGTAATCAAAAAATAAAATTATAATAGAATCTTTATTGGAATCATCAATGTCATCCTTCTCATCACTATTTGTTTCTGCTCATTCTTTGTCATCATTCTCCACTAGCTATCATGTCTTCGCCTTCCCCTTCCCCTTCCCCTTCCCCTTCACCTTCATGTAAAGACAAAAAAGGAAAATAAAAATACTTGTAAAATATTCTAGATTATAAAAAAAATTGTCCAAAAAAGCCAAGGCTGATAACAAAATGTACACAAAACGCAAGACAAACAGGCTTAAATTTTAGGCCCCTTGAGGCTCAGACATAAGGCATATGCCTCACAAATGTGCCTCAAGTTTTATTATTTTGTGAGATGGAGGACCTTGTGGAATATTAGTTTGTCCCTTTTTCACGAGGAACATTTTAGCTCTTCATTAAACATTTATGTTACTTAATTCCGCTTATGGGTTGCTGTATTTTGCAATTAATTAACATGAATTCCAATTGTTCCATTATATGAAGCCCCTGTTTGTTTCTCATTCTTTCTTCATTAAAATGAAAAATATTACCGTTATCCATTACATCAAGCCACCAAATTTGAATTTCTATCTTTTGTGTGGGGCCCATAATAGCTATATATTTCATTCTCATTTTTGCAAAAATGAGAAACAAACACGCCCTAAATAAAAGGAAGATGAAGAAAATATGAAACATGCAAGAAAGCAAAAAATGTGGCTTGAGAAATTTTTAACAAACTTAATGTTTACAAAGATAAGTAGACACATCGTCTATGTGAAGTTTTTTATAAATATTTTTCGATGAAGGAGTTTAATATTTAACTAGGTGAACATAACGTTTGTCTAACAATAATATATTCATGAGTTTTATGGTGAATTTATTCTATATCGCCTTGGTTTAAAAGATTATCAAAGACATTTTAAGAAGAAAAATTATAAAAAATAAAAGAACCAGAAAATTCTGGGATTTTCACAGCTTGCTTAGAAAAATCTGGGCAATGTTATGATATTATCACCACCACCATACTAGAACATTTAGAGCCGTCATTAACATGTATATATATTATATGTCTGCGGTATGTATGAGTGAGAATAAGAGAAAGTGAAAAGGCATTGAGGAAGAGATAGTGCACGAGAGAGAATAAGAAAAAGATAATTTGATGTTGTGTTTGTTAAATACTAAATTAGAGAGGTAGTGGTGTGTGTAAGTGATTTTTGAATAATATAATCACTTTAATTGGTGTTTAAACACATTATTCTTTTCCTAAATCCCCGTTTGATTCTCATTCTTTGGCCACAAAAATGAAAAATATAACCGTTATCCATCACATCAAGCCATCATATTTGACTTTCTATCCTTGTGTGAGTCCCGTAACGGCTATATTTTTCATTCTCATTCTTAGAAAAATGGGAATCAAATGGGGCCTAAATTATTTTAGACACTTCTCATTACCTTTTTTAAATAGAAGAAGAAAATGTGCTTACTTATTAAGAGTTTGTCACTCTATTGTCTTGCAAGCTGGAGGTTGTAGCTATGCTCATTAGTAGCAATGACACACTTGAACACTTATTGTAGGTTACATGTTGAGTGGCATTCTCATATTATGAAGGCTTCCGTTTCATATAATTACAAAATATTCTAAGCAAAACAATGAATCAGCAAACAAGAGATTTTTCATGAATATGCATTCATGGATTAAATATAAATTAACACTATGGATTCAATAGAAGGGTTCATCATCAAAATACAAACTAGCATATTTCATCAATGAAAATCACATGTTTATTGAACATTATGAATATAAATACTAATTTCGCCCACTATTTTTTATACTTTTTCATTAGACAATGATAATAAGTATGATATCATTTGTACTTTTTCAAGTTATTGCCACCAGTTTATGAAAAAATTTAAAGGTCAAACCTTTAGAAAAAATGAATATGACATTAGAGACACGTTAAAGATAAAAATAAAAATAGTATTCTCTCTTTAACAACTTAGTTGTCCTTGACATTCAATAATGACACCCTTTCATCCCAAAAAAAAAAAAAGAGAGAGAGAGAGAGAGAGAATTCTTGTCGAAAAAGATATTACATAAATTTACTTCGTGTTGCAAGGAAGAATGTCTTATTTTTCCATTATCTATATTTTTGCTCGCTTTCTTAATTAAGCATCAGTTCCTAGATGAATCAAGAGTTATGTCCAATGAAAAGTCATGAACCTTGATTCAGGAAGGATGCATGTTATCGGATACTTGGATAATATGTAAACACTTCACGAAAACAAAATATATCCTATTAGAGGGATTCCTATACCTAGGGCTGGACAAAACTCCTAAACCGAACCGAACCGAGCAGTTCTTTGTAAGTAAAATACCCGAACGGGTATCTAAATCGAAAAACAACGGATTAAGTACAATTCTCAATTCTAGATCAAAAATCGAATAACCGAATGAAAATCGAATTTCCTTAATTTTTTAATAGATTTATTTATATTAAATAAGTCTAATTTTTAAATTTTTTATAAATAAATTTGTTAACTACTTAATTTAGCTCAAATCCAAAAATATGTTTTCATATTTCTAATTTTCAGACTTGACCTAAGTTTTATCCAAATCGGTTACTCTACCATAGTGCATTTTCTACCATTCTAGATGAATCGAATTGAAACTCAACAACGCCTCTCTTAATTATTGTGAGCTCGCTATCTTCCTTTTACTATGAATTTAGCGATCAAATCTATGAAAAACTTAACAAAGAGAGATGCAAAAGACACATAAAAATGGATTACATTATTTTGTAAGAGCTAAGATTGAACATATCATTTGTTGAATTAAAGTAGCTTTGTAAAATTTAATTACAATATGAAACCTAGGAACCGAATTAAATGAAACTGAACCCGAACGGTTCCATAATTAAATTTGGACTCGACGATTTCACTTACTAAATACCCTAAAATTTCGAGTCCAATTCGGTTCGATTCTATCCAACCCTACCTACACCTAGAAAATCAAATTCAAAGCATTGTGTAGTAATAAGTTCAAATATTTTATACAACCAAAGATGTTAAAACCAAATTCCTATTCTCAATATTAATTATAGCCATCTAAACATAGACATAATGAGTTCTTGTTTAAAGTTGTGTGTTTATTGCATTTGTACAAATGAGTAACTTTGTAAATTACAGCGTCTAAATCATTGTCTCTTCATTTCGCCTTAAGCTAAATTTTCAAGCTGACATTCGTGAAGTGGTAAATTGTTTAGTTCATAGTCTTTTTTTTCTTTGGAATCTGTAATAAGAGTTTTTGATTGCTTAGTGCTTGTTCTTTTAGTCGGGTGTTGCTTTAGCCATAAACTTGAGACTATATTAATTAACTTTATTCTCAGATGTTGAACTTTAAACAGTCTAACAGTGCTTATCACACAAACGCCTTAATGTAAGAGTTTAAGGCAACATCAACACTCTTTATTTTATCGTTAACTTGTACCGAAAAGGAAATACTTGGATATCTATGTTACATTTACAAGGAAGAAGCAATCCACATTTTCCCTTATTTGGACAAAACTTTGAAATTTATAAATTGTCCCTCGATTCAGAAATGTTCAATTATGTTATCTCTTAACTAGATCTTTATTTTATTATTATTATTATTTTAATGACCGTGAGTGTTTAGGCCAACTTACGCGCACCTCAACTAATCACATGGGGTCCTAAAATTTATAGTCGAGTACTCACCTCAATGACCCTAAAAGGATTCAAATTGGTGGCCATTGGGAGCAAACACAATGTCTGACCACTGAACTACCCCTCAGGATTTTTAACTAGATCTTTATTGCGATAAAAGAACACCTATGGCAACAAAAAGTTTCATTGATGCATGTTAAATTCCAATGGTTGAAGACCATCAACAATTGACATTTCCATCTAATAATCAGTTGGAGAAATATGATCAGTGATGAATAGGGAAGAACATCTACTATGTCGCAAAATTCAGCAAGGAAATTTCCCATCACAATTGTTTTTAGAAAGTGAAAATATCAGCAATGCTTGAGATCGGACTCTAACATAGTTCTATTTTCTAGAAAATAAAAATTATAGAGACGAATGTTTATCAATCACTTATAGGTTCTGTTGGAATAACATTATATTAAACAAGTGATAATAAGACAATTAAATCTAATATTATCTAATCTAGTATCATTATTCCTCTTCACGCAAAAGAAATTTCATTCTATAGTTACTAATGTTACTCCCAGAACAAAAAGAACGAAAAGAAATTAACGGCGAAAAAACTATTCAACATTTCTTCATCGCACCATATTCAGAACTAGTGCAGAAACTACTACTTAAGTAAATGCAGAGTATTCATTTATATTCTATTTAATTAACATAACTCACCATTATTCACTTCATCTGTAACTTCATCGTCAGATTTCCAGACAATATCTTTCAACCCAGTTGAGAGGTTCATGTAGAACTGTTTATCAAGAATAAAAGATATGAGCTATAAATATTGTGGGGACAAAATTTGGTCCTGTGAAAAATGGCACTTTAGATTCTTTAAAAGCACCAACCAAAGCACAACTTATATGTGACATATTTAATGGAAAGCAATATAATAATGAAAAAAATAAAAAGTTCTCCATAATACGTTTTGATTCCCATACAACAGCACGTTATACCTCATTACTGGTTAAAACTACGCTTATTGTCTATAATAAGCAAGAACCAATAAATATTTCTCTGCCAAATGATAAATATCTAAGTCTACAAATAATGTTCTAAGGTTCAATTGAGATAAAGTGGAGCACTAAGGTAAAGACGGTGCTATATAAATCACCTTATAGTGATTTCTTCACATCAAATCTTTAATTTCTGAGACTACCCTGTTTACAGTAAATTCTGATATGAATCATTTTTTTTTTTTTTCACTTAAACAAGCCCCTGCAGTCAGATAAAAAATTGGGCATCTTACTTATACATTCACAATGAACTTTAGCCCAACCCACCCCGGTGGCTCTACCACCCCCAACCCCCCACCACACCTCGAAATCAAGATCCCACCCACGGAAGTCACGGCCATCATAAAAAAAACCACCCACGCCGCCCATGATGCCAAGCCAAAAGCCCCCCGCAGGCAACCCCCGTCTGACACAAACAAGCAAAAGCACAAAATGTTGAACAAAATAAATAAATAACCTCATGCATTTTTGCTTGCAATTTTCTTCAGAAATTCTATGGCCAGAATCCTGGAAAAATTGGAAGAACTGAGAAGTTTGAGAGTTTTGGGAAAATTGGAAGGAAAATGTTAAAAATGCGAGGGAAGAGAGAAATTTTTGTTTTGAGTAGGGTGGTAGCAATCCTCCAATTATTGATCGTGATGACAATAATTTGAGGAATTTATTTTAATTGGGGGCATTAAATAAATAATGAATAAATATTAATAATTCAAAATATAAATATTTGTGGTATCTTTAAATTTAGAGAGTAACTTTTTGGGAAAATGAGTTGGGAAGGCCACTTTAATGTACATTTTGTTCAATTGGCCTTTGACCAAACTTATAAAAATAAAAGGAGCTTTAATTATTTAAAAGTGTCAAAAGACTTCTTTACCCTTAACTTGTAAAACAAAAATGAAGAAGAAATTGGAGTTTTTTTCTAAATTTGTTGGAGCCATGACTTGAACTTTGGAATGCAAGAAAATATTTTAACTTCACAACCATTATGGCAAATGATGGTTCTTTGTTTCCTATGAGCAAAATATATATATTACATTTCAAAAAATTGTTTTATTCTCACTTCAAAAATAAAATTTAATTAAAATTAAAATTTAACAATAACCCACCGATTGAACCATTAACCCGGTAATTTTTTTTAGCTGATCATCGGGTTGGCTCTAATAACCATGCATTCATGTTCTAACACACACAACATTCCCTTCCTTTAAATTCAAAAAATCTTCCTCTTCAAAATCATCTTTTCCTTAGAATTCGAACTCTTCTTCTTAAATTTCAGGTCATCTCTTTTTCGTAATTGATCTCCAGTGCAATCAAAGTTTTAACATTGTCCACAACCTAACAACTAGACGAAAATAATTATTGAGTCATTTATTCATTAGACACATATTATAACACACGAAATTTTTTAAAATAAATTTATCGTTATATTTTGGAAAAAAATGGAGAAATTTTTTTTTTTTAAATTTATATCTTATTTAAAGTCCAATAATTAGATTTTAATAAAAAGCGATGCAGTATATCAATTTGTACTCATTTTAAAGCTTGTAATTAATAAGAACTATTCAACTCGAGAAAAAGTCGATTCGGATAAGCCAGCACGAAAATATTGCAGTTTGAAGAAATCGTAAAATATAACTTATCAACTTAATAAAAATGTGGAATGGAAATGAGCTGCTGACACTGTTTCACTGATTTGCATAAGACATTGAAATCGTTCCTGAAATATAAAACGACTTCGATATCATTTCAGTATCAAATACACTCTGCTTGACTGATTTGTATAACAACATGAAACTCGTTCCTGAAGTACAAAAAACGATGTATATGTCATTCCGATATCGAATACACATTACTTCACTGTTTAACAGGTTTAAGCGCATGTTATGGAATAAGTAAACAACGTTTATGTCATTTCACAATTTTCGACGACAATGATATCGTTCCTATTCAATCGTAACTATAATGTCATACATATCGTTTCAGAAGTGATTACACTAGAACGTTATAACTACGATATTAAATGTAATTAAAATTTACATATAATTGATCGTGGACGATCGAATCGTCGTTTTTATGATTATCTTTTTAATTAAAATTTAAATTAAAGTGATATCAATGTTATCAAAATTGTACTGAAACGATAATAGTATCATTATGTATCAAACCCACAAAATAAGACAACGACATTCAAATCGTCATAGTACAAATTTAATAAGTTTGAAATCAATCCAATTCAAATCACAATGATAATGACATAGATATCATTTATTTTCATTAGAACAAAAATGTTCTCATAGTTTCTTTTGAGGGAGATTGAACCCACTTGATTATCTACTTTTATCATCCTACATATACTAGATACACGACTGGTGGTCATAGACAGTCGAATCGTTATTTTTAGCATAAAAGATATAATTGTCGTTTTATTTTAATTGAAACGATATGTACGTAGTTTTAGTTATGATTTAAGTTAAAATGATATCAACATTATCAAACTTGTATTGAAACAATAATTATATCGTTAAGTGTCAAAATCACAAATAAAGTAATGACATTCATATCGTTTTAGTACAAATTTGACGAGTTTGAAATCGTTCCAATTCAATTCACAAGTATAATGGCATAGATATCGTTTCTTTTCATATAAAATATTAATTATATCGTTCTAGCTAAAAATAACGATTCGACCGTCCACAACCATCCGTCATGCCTTCAACATACGTAGGACGATCGAAAGATGTTATCAAGTGGGTTGATACCACTCGAATGATTTAGAAAGAGCAAACGAAGATACTTCTGTCAGAATAGTTCGAAGGTGGTATACAATCATGAGAATAAAAATGTTCTCATAGTTTTTTTTGAGGGAGATCGAACCCACTTAATTATCTATTTTGATTATCCTACATATGTCAGATGCATGTCTGGTGGTCGTGGACGGTCTAATCATTATTTTTAGCAGAAACGATATAAGTATTGTTTTATTTTAAATGAAACGATATGCGTGTAGTTTTAGTTATGATTTAAATTAAAACGATATCAACGTCGTCAAAATTGTATTGAAACGATATTGATATCGTTATGTATCAAAATCACAAATAAAGTAACGATATTCATATCGTTTTAATACAAATTTGACGAGTTTGAAATCGTTCCAATTCAAATCACAAGTATAACGACGTAGATATCGTTTCTTTTCATATAAAACGATAATTATATCGTTCTGGATAAAAATAACGATTCGGCCGTCCACAACCACCCATCATACCTTTAGGATACGTAGGACGATCGAAAGAGGTCATCAAGTGAGTTAATACCACTCGAATGACTTGTAAAGAGCAAACAAAAATACTTTCTGTCTGAATAGTTTGAAAATGGTATACAATCACGAGAACAAAAATGTTCTCATAGTTTCTTTAAAGGGAGATCGAACACACTTGATTACCTATTTTGATCATCCTACATATGTCAGATGCATGTTCGGTGGTCGTGGACGGTCGAATCATTATTTTTAGCAAAAACGATATAAGTATCGTTTTATTTTAACTGAAACGATATGCGTGCAGTTTTAGTTATGATTTAAACTAAAACGATATCAACGTCGTCAAAATTGTATTGAAACGATATTGATATCGTTATGTATCAAAATCATAAATAAAGTAACGACATTCATATCGTTTTAGTACAAATTTGACGAGTTTGAAATCGTTCCAATTCAAATCACAAGTATAACAATGTAGATATCGTTTCTTTTTATATAAAACGATAATTATATCGTTCTGGATAAAAATAACGATTCGGCCGTCCACAACCACCCATCATACCTTTAGAATATGTAGGACGATCGAAAGAGGTCATCAAGTGGGTTGATACCACTCGAATGACTTGGAAAGAGTAAACGAAAATACTTTCTGTCGGAATAGTTTGAAGATGGTATACAATCATGAGAATAAAAATGTTCTCATAGTTTCTTTAAAGGGAGATCAAACCCACTTGATTACCTATTTTGATCATCCTACATATGTTAGATGCATGTTCGGTGGTCGTGGACGGTCGAATCATTATTTTTAGCAAAAACGATATAAGTATCGTTTTATTTTAATTGAAACAATATGCGTGTAGTTTTAGTTATGATTTAAACTAAAACGATATCAACGTCGTCAAACTTGTATTAAAACGATATTGATAACGTTATGCATAAAATCACAAATAAAGTAACGACATTTATATCGTTTTAGTACAAATTTGAATAGTTTGAAATCGTTTCAATTTAAATTACAAGTATAACGATATAGATACCGTTTCTTTTCATATAAAACGATAATTATATCGTTCTAGCTAAAAGTAGATTTGACCATCCACAACTATCCGTCATGCCTTCAATATCGTTACGTTGTTCAGTACACTTTTTTATTGGAAGGACATCTATATCGTTTTGACTTTCAGGAACGACTTCCATGTCATTCTTAGAATGAATGCATTTTTGTACTAGAACGACTTATATATCGTTTATGTATAGTCATAACGACTTTGATGTCATTACCAAAATAAGTTAAGCAGTGTGTATTTCATACTAAAACGATATAGAAATCGTTTTTTATTACAGGAACGGTTTCAATATCGTTATGTTATTCACTCTACTTTTTTTTTATTTGAACGACATCTATATCGTTTTGTGCTTCAAGAACGACTTCAATTTTGTAATTAAAATTAATACATTTTTGTACCACAACGATCTTAAACACTTTGTCTCAGAAGGAAGAAAATATATATCGTCATTAGATTGATTGCATTTATATCAATTGTAACTATATGAACATCGTTTGCATTTCAATACTGTAAAAGCATTTCAATAGCACAATGATTACAAAATTTAATAAATCATTTGTGCTTCGAATAAGCACAAAATTATAAAGTTACAAGTCAGGAAAATATTACAACCTTAATCTCAGACGATTATTATTCGAGAACTTCTTGAAGCAAGAATGTTTTGGAAAAAAATTATAAAAATAAAAATGAACGGTCGATTAATATAGTCTTTATGGATCCATTGAATAATTTTGATAATTTATAATCTCAACACTGTCACAAACTTATGAACTTGGATTATGAATCATGATGATAAACTAGGAAGTTCACCTAGCATATAAGCCAGCCATTACATTATAGTTTTTATCCTACACACATATACACACACACTTTCGACCTACATCTTGATGAAATTAAAGGAATAAATTGCTTAAAATGCTGGACCAATTATTTCTATGTAAAAAAAGTCACCAGCAGCAGCACCTAAAGAAAAAGGAAAAAAAACGACGTTCCCCATTTTTCTTCGGGTCGAGGATGGGAAAGGCTGAAATAATATTTGACCTGCTATATTCAATTCCTCTTAGAGCAAAGTTGAGTAAGAATGTCCCTCAAGAGAGCTGCAGTACGAAATCACAAAGTAAACATCCAAATTTCTGAATCTTTATATTGAAAGCAAGTAAATGAGCAAGATAACACACACGATGGTTATGTAATTTGCAGGAAATAATTCCAAATCAATTATCCATTATAAATATAAATGAAATAATAAAAAAGTTTGCTCCAACAAAGCCAAGGTATTGGTTTCTATTTCAAGGTATTGGTT